CCCGCCCCTCCCCGCACACCGTCCCCCCTCCCCCGGCACCGGGCAGCCCGCAGGAGCCCCACACCTCCGGAGCCCCACATTAGGTCCCCACAACTCTGGACCCACCTCAAACCTGGGAACACAACCCCGGGTCCCCTCAGCCTTGGGACACGGAGCCCCGAGGCCCCGAGACACTCCGAACTCCGGGACTCCCACACCAGGGGAATGGCTTTTCAGGCCTGGAGCCCCTCAACCCTGAGACTCCCTCAAGCGGGAACCTTAACCCTGGAGCCGGGGACCCTGAAACCCTGAAACCCCGAGACCCCTCAGAACACAAGCCGCTTGAACAGCCGCCCGACATTTCAACCGCAGCCACCGCAACCCTGGGACCACCCGATCCCTGGACCTGCTAGCCTCGCGCCTCTCTACCCTGCCTGGCACATCCTGGGCCCCCTTCAACGCCGAGGCCTTCCTCTGCACCTTCAGCGCGTCATCAGTGGGCCCATCCTCAACCCAAGGACTTCCAACTCTCAAAGCCGGGGAGTCCCAACCAACCCTGTCCCTAGATACCCTGGTGGGCGTGGCCTGTCCTCTGGTCACCATGGCTGCTCGCAGTGCGCATGCGTGCCTGCAGCACGCCGGGCGGGCGAAGGGACTAGGTGGGGAGGGTTGAAGGCGAGCGCCCGGAGGGGGTGGGTCTGGATCCTGGGCGGGTCTGAGCAAGTGCCTCTGAGGCCTGAGGAGGGAGGTGGGAAACCTGCAAGCTGCAGGCAGGTGGGAGCAGGTGGAGACCCCCCTCCCCCGGAGAGGACAGACTTCAACAGGGCAGTGATCTTCTGCTGCTCTGAGGCAGTCATTGGGCCTGCATAGATGGATGGATGGATGGATGGATGGATGGATGGATGGATGGATGGATGGATGGATGGATGGCTCAATCCACGGGGTTGTCTACACAAAGGAGGAAAAGGAGGGTCATGTCCAGTCAGAAGGGCAGAGAGTGTCCAGCCAGGCACCCAGGAAAACGAAATGGGCAGCAAGGTCTAGAGGACCTGTGTGAGTCTTGCTCGGTCAGGACTGTGACATGCTTTTTAGCTTTCTATTTGTGGACAAAGCAATGAATATTCCACACTGGGCATTTTCTGGACCTTGCTGTCCCACACAGGAGGAAATGGCAGGCTATCACTGCTACTTTTCCAACTGAAACAGGCTGCCTTTTTTGGGGGGGGGTGGAACTGGGGATTGAACTCAGGCCCTTGTGCTTGCCAGGCAAGTGCTTATTCTGCTGCACTATCTACCAGGCCAAGGCTGCCCTTTTGATACAGGGAGAAAAACTGATCTCAGGCAGGTGACCTCCAAATGATACAGAGAACCTCCAAATGACAGAGGGAAAAATGATCTCCTGACCTGCAAGAGTCTGTGTTCTCTAAAACTGACGAATGAATTTTAGGAACAAATGGAGGTTATGAGCAGAATACATTTATTGAGGGAAACAAAGCTCCTGTCCGAGAGACTGACAGGAGGGGGGCCAGAGCAGGTTGTCCCCTGGAAGCTGTCTCTTCCAGGGACTTGTATAGTGTAAAACCTTGTGGGGCTAAAGTGGAGAAAATGGGAACTTGCTTAGGTGGATGTGAGGTGGGACAAAACTGGTCAATCAATGAGATTACAAGTGCCATTGCTCAGGTAAAATTGATTATGTTTGGGACCAAATGGGGAAGCGAGTCATGTAGCAAGCGGGCTTGAAGGTAGAACAGGACTTTATCAGGTAGCCATCCAATAGTAGTCGGATTAATGATTCTTCTGGCTCCCTCAGGGTGATGATCAATCTCGGATGCCAATCTTCAGGGAGGTTGGCACTTGTTTGATCTTTGGTCTTTAGGTCTGACCCAGGGCGGGAGCATCCATCCCTCCCAGAGTTGCAAGATATCTTGTCTTCTGTGGTATCTCCTTCAAGAGCCTGGCCCTCTTTGACTGCCTATAATATTTCTATCTAACTTGCCTGCCTGCAACACTTTGACCCACCTGCAACCTGGCTGAGTCTAGCCTTCCCCAGGAGAAGGGGCTCCCATTGCCCTAGAACATTTTTGTAATGGTTTGAGTGAGCCAGAGACACCAAATCAAAAGTCCTACACTTTCAGGAGGACCAAAGGGCTGTCTTCCCATCTATCTTAGAAGGGATCCAAGCGATAAATGCAGAAAGATGGTAAATCCACCCCAAAGGGGAAATATAGATCAACGTGAGATGATGTTTCCTATTGTTCCCTATGGAAAATACAAAGACAAGGATATGCAAACCTTTCTGTTGGTAGCTATGGGCATGGTGCAAACATGGAAGCCCAGTTGTTAGCATCTATCAGAGTTCAATGTACCTCCTCTCCTCCCAGCAAATTATCTTCTACAGGGAAACATTTTACTTTATATGCTTATATATTCCTTATATTTTCACACTAAATATATGTCATTTTTAAAAAAGATCCAGAACTCTAGGCTTGTGTAAAAACTTTCCAAGTATCGTAACTCTCCTGCTCTTTAAAAATCAGGTGTAGTTTTCCTTTTTTCAGAAGCTAGCAACAAAACTTTTAAAATGAGAAGGGGCTCTGGCATCTGGCAGTCACTGGGGGAGCCTAGTGGTCATGACTTGGCCCAGGACCTGGGAAGGGCCAGCCCTCAGGAACTGGAGCAGATGGTCCCGACCAAACATTAAATGTGGCTGCCACCTGGGAACCAACGGTAGTGGCAGCAGCTACAGTGCTCCCCACAGAGCCCTCACATAACTCTCCTCCAGGAACTCTGACCCTAGTAGGCTCAATCTGATGAAACCACAGGACAACTACACCCAGTGCAGTTAAAACTTAGGAATTCCTTTTTCATGCAAATAGTTAAGATTCCTAGTAGGAGTAAACACCTTTTCAAGCAAGATCGAAGAGGTAGGGCTGGGAATAGTGAAGTCTAGAGACCTACAGAAGGGCAATGAATGAAGGCCAGGGTTCTGTCAAAGTAAGTACTCCACAAATACAAACACTGATAAGAGTCAAAACCCATAAAACATGTTACAAAACAGAGTCAAGGTCCACATGCAACCCATTCAAAGTACTGAAGACAGAACCCGAAATTCCACTCAGAACACTTGGGGTCACAACACGGATTCCTTACCCAGAAAAACACAGCAGGGGCTTCCTCCTAGTGATATAGGAGAATGAACTCCCAGCCTGAAAGGTACTTCGGACGAGTTTGTGTTCTCTAAAACTGAAGAATGAATTTTAGGAGCAAATAGAGTTAATAGCAGAATATTTATTGGGGGAAAGAAAGGCCCTGTCTCTCAGTAGAGTAAGTGTTTGCCTGGGGAGCGCAAAGACCTGAGTTCAATCCCCGGTTCTGCCAAAAAAACAAAACAAAACAAAACAAAAAATAAAAACAAAGTAGACTAAAAAAAAAAGAGAGAGAGAGAGAGCCTCTGTCTGAGAGAGGGATAGAAGGAGGACCCAAGAAGGTTGCCCAGAGAAACTGTCTCTTTGGGGGATTTTTATAGAGTAAAACCATGCAATGAGGTAGGTCTAAGGTGGAGAACATGGGAACTCGCTTAGGTGGGCATAAGATGGGACAAAAATATGGTCAACCAATAAGATTACAAGCACCATTTCTCAGGTAAAATTGATTAAATCCAGGATCAAATGGGGAAGTGAATCCCAGATGCTTATCTTTAGGGAGGTAAGCATTTGTTTGGTCTTTGGTCTTTAGGTCTGGCCAATGGCAGGAGCATTGGTCCCTCTTACAGTTGTAAGGTACCTTGTCTTCTGTGCTCTCTCCTTAGAGGGCCTACCCCTGTCTGACTGCCTATATTTCTATTTAAATTGGCTGCCTACAACACTAGGCCTACACCCACTCTTGAGAGCTCTCAAAGCCAGCACAGTAACTGGAATCGCAAACCCTGGGTGAAGGCCAGGCTTACTACCCCAAATTCTAGAAGAATTTAAACAGTAGCACTGAATGTTCTTTTGTGGACATGCACAGCAGGTTTGGATAGAACTGCAGGTCAAGGTCAGCAACTCTCAGGCCTGGTCCTCCTAGGAGAGAGGAGGCTGAAGGATAGGGAGGCTGAGATATGGCCTGTCAGCCTGGGCCAGGGCTGGTCTCAGATTCCTTGGTCTAGCCAAAACTAAGAGTATCAGAATTACAAGTTGGCCAAGTGGGGGGCCGGGAAGAACTATCCTGCTCCCTGAACATGCAAGGTCTCTGCCATTTACCAGAGGGGAAAACAAAAACTAGGACATGATTGTACATAGATCTAGATCCTTCTTGGCCATAGGGCTGGGGAATAGTGGTTTTATACTCTTAGAATGAGGAAGCTAGAGAAGAAATTTATCTTTATCAAAATTCCAATTTTTAAAGATCCATGTCACACTTCAGTGCCAGAGGGCATGCAGACTTTTCTGGAATGCCAGTGATATAGGGGAAATGAAACCCAACCTGAAAGGTACCTGGGACAAGCTCATGTTCTCTAAAACCGAAGAATGAATTTTATGAACAAACGGAGGTTAAGAGCAGAATATTTGTTAGGGGAATCAAAGCTTCTTTTTGAGAGAGACAGAAGGGGTAGCCCAAGTGGGTTGTCCCCAGGAAGCTGTCTCTTCCAGAGACAGACTCTTCATAGAGTAAAATCATGTGGGTCTAAGGTGGAGAACATGGGAACTCCCTTAGGTGGGCATGAGGCGGGACAAGACTATGGTCAACCAATGAGATTTCAAGCACCATTGCTCCAGTAAAATTGATTAAGTGCAGGATCAAATGGGGAAGCGAGTCACATAGTAAGCAGGGATGAATATAAAACAGGAGTTTATCCAGTAGCCAGCCAGTAGCAGTTGGATTAGTGACTCTTCCTGACTTGCTCAGGGTGATGATCAATCCTGGATGCTTATCTTTAGGGAGGTAAGCATTTGTTTAATCTTTGGTCTCTAAATCTGGCCCCCAACAGGAGCATTCATCTCTCACAGTTACAATGTATCTTGTCTTCCATGCTGGCTCCTTGAGGGCCTAGCCCTGCCTGACTGCCTATTATATTTCTAATTTAGCTGCCTACGATACCAGAACTTAACCCAGGTTCAATGAGTGTGACCAGCCATTTATTCCTTCATCTCTGATTTGTATACAGGTAAAATACTATTGTTAAAGTTACATGAGGTACACTTTCTACAGTTCAATATCATAAAAGTATAATTCTTACCCACTTGATTTCATCTCTGGACCCAAAAAAGCCATAGCTACACAATTATTTCCTGGGCTCGCTCTCTCTGTCTCTCTCTGTCTCTCTCTTTGTCTCTCTCTCTCTCTCTCTCTCTCTCTCTCTCTCTCTCTCTCTCTCTCGTCTCTCTGTCTCTCTCTCTGTCTCTCTCTCT